GGAAGGAAGGAAGGAAGGAAGGAAGGAAGGAAGGAAGGAAGGAAGGAGACAGAAAGGAAAGAGAGAAAGGAAAGAAAGAGAGGGAGAGAGAAAAGAACAGCCAAGCATGGTGTCACTCATTTATAATCCCAATCATGGGTGACAAATTAGCTGAGACAGATGGATCCCTTAAACTCGCAGTCAAACCAACCTAGCCAAGTCAGTGACTTCCAAGTTCAGTGAGGGATTCTGTCTCAGATAAATAATAGATAAATCGATGATAAATACATACATACATACATACATACATACATATATACATACATACATGCATACGGTAGGGTGATTAAGAACACCACCAGATATTGACCTCTGTCCTTCATATACACACATATTCATATGTACTCACACACACTCTCTTACCCAAAATAAATACACATATAGAAAACAGGAAGATAAACAGAAGGGGTACAGTTTAGATGTAAAAACCACTGAAATGCAATTTTGGGTGAAGGGTTAGTGAGAATGTAACCAGTGCAACTCAGACAAAAGCACGTCTCTACCAGCTGCACCACCTCACCCTAGGGTATTGGGCTGGTATTAGCCACAGCTAAACACTTAAGTTTTTTGAGACAGTGTATCATTCTGTAACCCAAGTTATCCTAGAATTCCCCATAGCTGCCAACAATGATCCTCCTGCCTCAGCCTCTCAAGTACTACAATTACAGCTGTGAGCTACCATGCCCTTGTTTTATATCCCCACTCTATGTGTTTCTTCGATGTTCATTTAGAGTAAATAACAAGACTGGAGCAACAGGGACATCTGACTCTCTAGATAGCTGCTGTTGGACTTCTCTTGCTGCTCTGGTTTCCTGAGCAAGACAACTATCAACCAAAGAGCCAGCTGGCCTACCCTAATGGCAGCACCAGTGGTTCTGCATAGCCCATGGATGCCTTGAGGAAAGCACGTGACCAAAGCTAACTGCCTTGACTCCCGAAAGCCAGACTACTTGAAACAGTTTGTAGCAGACTTATATGCTATCACAGCCTAATGCTAGATGACCCTGAAAACCATTTCCACTGAGGCCAGGAGATAGGCTGTGATTGCTCCAAACATCCCTCCTCTGCTTGTCTGGCATGGCTCACCTGGTGAGTCTCCCGGGAGACAGTCTGCCGGGCTGTCTTCCTCAGTAGTGCAGCTGGAGGTTTAATAAAAGGCTTTCAGTAGTGTGGGCTAAGAAGTGGTGATGGCAGAGGCGGTGGCATAAGGACATCCGACCCCTTACTAAGCAGCTGTTGGACTTTCCCCTGCTGCTCCGACTGGCCTGAGCAAAAAAGCTCTTCTAAGCGATTCTGACATGAAGCAATTTTGAAAGTGAACGACATTCTGGAATACGTAAAATACGCCATGAGAAAAATATAACTGAGGTGGGCACGGTTGTGGCGCGGAGGGTGAAAGGACGGTGAGGTGGAGCGCCCGAACGCTTTGCATCCCTCACTCAGCAAGTGCAAACGCATGCTTTAGATTTGAGGACTGCGAGCAGATCCCATCACAGTAGAAGAGTAAGTAAGCAACGCTGACAAATTCCAAACTATCTTTCATTCTTCTTCGCTTTTCTTTCCACCCAGCTTCCAACTCGTTCTCCAGAAGCATCTCTCTGCTGCAGACCCTAACGTCACAATCTAACACAGTCTTTACCTGTGGCGCGGATTATGGCTTCCACTGCGATTACTACCATGAAATCGACAGATGTCCTGCAGTCCGGGCCCTTTCTCTCTGAATAAGTATTCTCCTTGACCTCAACCTTCCCAGCTATCTCGAACCTTTTAAAGCGTCCGGGTTCTCCCCGTCCCTCCCAGCTACTCCAACTCTCCTTCCCTCTCCCGAGTGCCCAGGTTTACTCATGAGCTACGAGTATGAGGAAGAAAGGTATATTCCCGTTGCGGAATCGGCCCCGAGCCACAGTGCCCGGTGACACTTACGTGACATTGGCAGTGATCTGACAACCCGGGAGCGGACGGCGGTCGCCATCTTCTCCCACAAAGCCTCACGGCCGGTGCTTCCTCCAACTACGGCAACAACGCGGGGCCAAATGCTATCGCACGGACCTCTCTGCGCAGGCGCCCACTGGGAACGGAAGTGGGGGGGTGGGGTCGGAGTCTGAGCGTGAAAGCGCGCTGGAGGAGAGAAGAAAAGGAGGAGAAAGAAGGGCAAAACAGAATCCTGGAGTGGGCTGTGAGGATCATCTGCTATTGTTAGGAGCTTGCAGTTCAGAGTCAGCCAGGGACTCACTCAAAGGCATGCAAAATGGCCAGCCTTCAAAGTACCCCCCCCCCCCCATGGGCTGTTACCAGAAAGTGTCAGCTCTGCAGAGGTGAGGAGGAGGCGTGGCCCCGCACTCTCAGAAGTTGTGTTGAGGGAAAACTGTAAAAGAGTCTGCGCACAGTGTACCAGTGGGAGGGGGGGCGGGGGGGTTCGGAGAGAATAGAAACGCAGAGGTTCCCCTAACCCCACCCACCCACAAGAAAATGCACGTGGACGCCGTCAAGAACACCCTTTCTTTGGGGGCGTTAGTGCTCACTGCCCCTTTTCATAGAATGCTTACTTAAATGTGTGCACCAGCTTTTCTCCTCTGTGATCTCTCCAGGGACTTAGGACCACCTTTTCCAATGTGTTGGGGCCCCTTATAGTGAACTCATAAATGGATTTGAAACGTGAATCTCCTGAAATGTAATATAAAGTTGCATGTCTTGCTTGACATTCAGCATTTTTCTGTGGAAAAGCTGCTGCTGGCTTTACCCAGGGCAGTTATTTGTTTTTCAAACTGGGCCTCTTTGAAAATCTCCAGTGTTCTGGAAGAAGACACCTGGAGCCTGAGGATATTCTGGAAAAAAAAAGCATTTGCATTTTAAAATCTTTTTCAGGACGTGGTGGTGGATGCCTGTAATCCCAGCCCTTGAGGGGCAGAGACAGGAGGATAGAGAGTTCCAAGCCAGCCTAGGTGACCTTGTCTCAAATTAAAAAAAAAAAAAAAAAAAAAAAAAAAAAAAAAAAAAAAAAAAAAAAACAAAAAAAAAAAAAAAAAAAAAAAAAAAAAAAAAAAAAAAAAAAAAAAATTCCAGTCAACCTCTTGAGATACCTGAGTAAAAGACAAGCACTTTTGAACTAAAGTTCCCAGAAAGAAACATTACGTTCTGAACACTCTAACGTTCTGAACACTCTAGAAAGGCCGATTAATTGGTTAGGACTTTAATGATAGTAGAGAGGATGGAATTCTGCAGACGCAAAGCCAGATCATCCTGCACTATCCTTAGCCCAACAAAATAGCCATTTATTGTCCACCTTTGTGTATGACCTGATATCTTTGTGATGGATTAGGGGACCATTAACTGCCACTAACCCAGCATCAGAGCATCTGAGGTCCACCCTTTCTTGATTTACTACAACTGGACCACCTGAGGCTTCCACACATGTATCTGAAAAGTGTTTATTTGTAACCTTCCTTTTTCCGTTGCTACAAGAACTTTCATTGTTGGGCCATGGAATTCGGGGTAAACTGGACTTGCTCGTTTACACTGACTCCATAATAAACTACCTCTTCCCCCCACCCCCTGTGAAACATACCTTGGGCTTAAAAGGCCTGGTTTGGGGGAATCATTCTAGACTTGATAATTCTTTCAGCACTCAGTAGTGGAGGTATTCATTTTTCATCTCTGGGAAGAAAGTGTTGCCGAGACAGGCAGCTGTTCAGTAGCAAGGTCTGACTAGGACCGTTAGACCTGTATGCACCCCTACCTTTGTTTACTCCTTACTTAAGGTATAAGGGGTGTGCGACAGGTGTGAGGCAAGGGTCTCAGTCCTCTTCTTATTTTGAGACAGTCTCACTAAATTGCCAAGGCTGACCGTCTTCGATTATCCTGAGTAGCTGAGACACGGTGTTGACAGGTCTCCACCAGACCCAGCTCACCCTACTGCTTCCGAAAAGGGTCTTTTGCCAAATTGATTTGGAAAAGAAACTCTTTCACTCTGACGCTCGGGACTGTTGGATCACCTTGCATTTCTTGACTGAGAACTCATAGCTTGCTAATCCTTGAGACTGATAGAAATATTAACATACTTTCCAAGGTCTGACAAAGGGATTGACTCCACCTCCAGCTTGCAGCTGTCTCCTAACCCATGTAGTAATTGTGTCACTTAACATCTCTAAGTCAAGCACTTTTGGTTTCAAGGTGTCACCGGATAGTTGAAAGAACACTAATTCTGATACCCAGAGTATTTGATCCATTTCACAGTTTAATAACCAAACTTGGAGATGGACACCTTCTCCTTGCCCTGACTCAAGTGACCTTTGTCACCTACAAAGGGCTGTCATCATGTGTGCCTATTCACACTCCAGGGAAGTACCCACGTGCAGAGTGCTTGAGCTGAAAAGGCTCTGCAGAATTCTACAAGCTTACTTTTTAAGATGAAAAAGATTAACAATTAAGAAAATGATAGTCGACAAATAGCTTTATTGAAGGATGCCAATAACCAACTGCTTTTAAATGCTAGGGGTTTTTGTTGGTTTGGGTGTGTGTGTGTGTGTGTGTGTGTGTGTGGTTTTGTCACCTTTGTTGGAACTTTTTTTCTTCATTAGATTGTTTTTCTGCCAGGCATGGTGGCTTGTACCTCTGGTAAAGTCAGCAGCAACAGTGATAGAGGCACAGCCCCAAAGTTAGTTCATGTCACCAGCTTTCACACACACACACACACACACACACACACAACACACACAGAATTTCAGGATGAGTCAGTGTGAAACAGGATCCTTGCCTGTGCTGCCATCTGAATTTGTTGGTAATACTCTGCTGTTTTAAATGAAATCCATTGGGAAAGTCTTCGCCTCCATACTCCTCATCTCACTCAAATACTCAGAATTAATAGCCAAGAGCAAGTCCAGTCCTTCTAACTAAAAGTCAGAGCCAGAAAGTGTATTTCCATCCCTCCTCTTATCCTTTTGAGTACTCAATCCTAAGCGGCCTCCCATGGTTGCTATAGAGACAGTGATGTCACTAGTTGCAATTCTGATGTCACTCCCTAGTCCCAACAAGAAGGAGGTGCATGGAAGGCTGGGGGAGGAAACAAGATCTTCAGCTGAACAAGAACATCCCAGCATCTTCATTGACTTTAAAAGTATATTCTGGAGTCTTCTGTGGTTCACTATTCCGGAGCTACAGAGGTAGGAAAACCCATTGAGTTGGTAAAACAGCCCATTTTCTGATCCCCTGCGGTTAGAAAGGAGAAATGATGAACAGCTTTTTAAATTTCCAACTCAGCTTCATCCTGCCCAGCCAATTTTAGTTTCAAGTATGAATCCTGTGGAAATAAGTGGACTCCTTCATTCTTCCCCCTTAAATTCTGAGTTACTTACAGGATTGACTTGATATCCCAGGCTATCCTATTGGGAGCTCGAGAGAGACTTACTCCTTCCCAGTGTGCTGTTAAGAGTAGAGTGTTGCCTTCCTACTGGCTTTTCCAACGGTATTGTCTGGCTAATTCCACGTGCTCTTTTCTCTCTGTACCCCGAGTAAAGTCATGTTGGTATAGCCAAGTCTGACTCTTATCTACTTGAAGCCTCATGTTTTTTTAAACTGAAGCTTTGATTAGCCAGCAGAGCACTGGATGAATAAGAATGAATAAGTTATTTGTAGCCATGTGTAGTTGAATTGTCAACTATCAACAAGATATGTTGGGTTTCTGTGACGTTCCAGACTCAGAAAGAAGGAGCAGAGGAGGAGGATGGGATATAGACAACTAGCTTGTTCATCTATATTAAAATGAATACTAAAATTTGGTTGAATGAGCTTCAAAACAATCATATGTGAAGGAACTCTATAAGAGCCTCATTTATGCTGCCAACAATGTGGCTTTTTCATGAGTTAAAGAATCTTGGGAAATTAGGACATGGGGTGAGGGATGTCTTCAGGTAGACTTATGACCTGGAGTAGAGCATCTCCTAGACCTGCCTCACTCAGCTCTCTGCCAGCATTCATGGTTTGCACCCCACTTCATTTTGAGGTAATAATCGCTTTGACATCCCTCTCCCATCTTTCCACAATGGCAGCTTTTGGTCTTGTTTTTGCTTATATGTAATATATATTTTCCTTCATAACTGTATCCCAGGCTTCTTTAGAACTCACTGTGTAGTCCAGGTTTGGGGATTTTCAGCCGTCATTCTGCCACAGGATCCAAAGTACTGAGATTACAAGCATGACCCATGACATTCAGCTGTCTCATTGGCATTTTGTGGTGTGTATATTTATGTACATATATGTGTGTGTGTGTGTGTGAGAGAGAGAGAGAGAGAGAGAATGTGCATGGAGAGGTCAGAGGTCAACCTCAAGTATTTTCACCACTTGCTCTTCCCTTCATTTTTTGAGTCAGAGTCTCTCACTGACCATGGTGCTTGCCAATTTGGCTAGGTACACCACCTCCCCCATGGTAGAGTTACAGATGTGAACCAACACACACAACTTATTAGGTGGGTGCTGGAGATGAAACTCAGGTTGTTGTGGCTGTATGCTTGTACGGCAAGCACTTTAGCAACTAAGCCATCTCCCCATATTTCTCACATGGCATCTCTTTGTGTGTGGGGGGTGGGGGATATAGGCAGGCACATACACACAGGCCTGCATGCTCAGAGGCCAGAGGAATGTGTGCTGCTTAATCACTCCTTTTCATATTCTCTAGAGATAGAATCATTCACTGAACCTGCACCTAGGCTGGTGGCTAACAAGCTAGCAAGCCACAGGATCCTGTCTCCACCCACCCCCAGTGTCGGCATTACAGCCACATTTAGCTTTTTAGTTGCGTGCTGGAGATTCAAACCCGAGTCTTGATGCTTGCTCAGCAAGTATTCTTACTCACTGGGCTATCTCCCCAGCCTCGCATTGGAATTTTTGAGGAACATTTTAAGCCAGTCCTTTGTGACTACAGAAAATGCCAAATTTCTCAGTCTGCAGAGCTAAAATATCTAAAGAAGCCCATTGGTTCTACTGATCTTCTGGCCTTCCGTTTTCCATCTTGTAAGATGAGAGTGTGAATTAATTGAAAGTCAATTACATTGACTTTTTTCCTCTATCAATTTAAGATAACACTGAGCTATGACTCCAGGATGTTATTACTTTTTGATTTTGTTTGTGACAGGGTCTCACTCTATCACCCAGGGTGGTCTAGACTAGCTAATGTATCTCTGGCTGACCTTGGAATCAGGACAGTCTTCCCGATTCAGCCTCCTAAGTGCTTGGATTAAAGGCATAGGCCATCACACCCCATTCCAATCTTCAACTTATAAATATATTTATAACTTGACTCCCTTAATTGTTTTAGATCTTCCATTCTTTATTGTGAGAAGTGTGTACATTAATTTCATAATCTGAAAAGCTTCATGGATCATGCCTGTCATAGCAGCACTTGGAAGGGAGGCAGCAAGATCAGGAATTCAGGGCCATCCTGAGTTATATTGTGAGTTAAGATCAACCTTTATAAAGAGTCCCTCTCTAAACAACAACAAAATGCAAGAAAGTTTTTACATGTCTATATATGTATGCTATCATCCAGACAACTTGGGGGAGTTTTAGCAGACTAAAACAAGCTTTATGTTTGCAGACAAATACAGACAAAATAGACTACAAACACTAGAATGTATGTAAGCTAAGAGATTGCTAAATGTGCTAAACTAGTGAAAACATTTTTTTGTGTGTGAAAAGAATACTGACATTTGGGGATGTTTCATCTCTTTGCATTAGTGGAATAGGAAGGAAGATATTACCATAAAATAACTTTCTGTGCTAAATTTCTTGCAAAAACATTGAGTTTTAAAAGCTCAAAATATATGGCTTGCTATCATAAGTCACTTGAGCAAGCCATTTCTTTTTTGTTCCCAGGTTCTCCAATTTTAAGAAAGAGAAAAATGAGCTGCCTCAAATTACAAATGGGCAGGACTTTTTTATTTACTCTTGCAACAGAAAATTACTAAGAGCCAACTTTAAAGGTCCTAGCTGAGGACCTTTAAGAGGAGTAAGAAAATCACTTTGTCTTCATGAAGCCATCTAATAAGAATACATGAGCACAGTTGACGTATTAGGTAGGAGGAGAAAGTGAAAGGAATTATGTTGGATACTTTGAAGAAGGAGCAATGACATTCAACTAGGAGCTTGACAAATTTGTCATGGTTAGGATACTGGCTTGGGCTTAAGGAAGAATGGCGTTTAGAGGAACATCTTGGAGGCATGTGCACAACTAATGCATTTCAGCACTAACATCCTCTGTTAGTGTCTCAGAAGAGATAGGTTGAAGAACTATAGGTTGAAGAAGGTAGTTCCAACTGGAGACATGGTTTATGAACTCTCTTTATGAGGATTCACATTTCTATCAAGAGCCCCCCCCCCAAAAAAAAGGCTTATAAAAAGTTTTGAGATCCAAAAATTCAAGGGGCTTATTCCCCATTCCACCTGTTTTTCTTCCAGCTTCCTAATGAAGTGTGTTTGAGATTAGCTAATTGTTTTCATCATTAAGTAAGCCACTCAATTCACAGCAGAGAATAACAGTGGTCGCTTAAAAAAAAAGGTGGAATGATTTGTTATCTGAGAAGTCTCCAGAAATCTCCATATTGCTTTGTGCCCCTCACTTGCATGTGTACATGAAAATAAGAAGTCAAAATTACCGTTCGGTAATAAGAACAGTGTCCATATGTAAGTTTTGCCATTTTTGTTCTTTCTTTGCAGAGTCTTTCTATATTACATGGCAGGAGGGGTGGGCAGACTTGGGGATTGTGAAGAGTCTTCCTTGTATCTCAGAACTCATCGTCAATAAAAGTAAGTGACCAGATCATTTCCTTCCTTCTTTATGCTTAATTTGTATCTGTTTTATTTGTAGTATGTAGTTATCCTGAATCAGGCAATGGATCCTGTCGATTTAGTTGTTCTCTACAACTCACCTGGAAAAAAATATGAAAACTAGCAATGAAAGGATGATCTTATTCTGTCAACATTCTAGCTCAAGCTGCTACTAAAACTTGCCTTTCTTGGCCAAATAGTAATGCTGTTAACTTGTTTTCTTCATACCCATGACACAAGCGTAAAACTATTTACTTAGGGGGCTGGAGAGATGGCTCAATGGTTAAGAGCACTGTCTGTTCTTCCAGAGGTCCTGAGTTCAATTCTCAGCAGCCACATGGTGGCTCACAACCATCTATACTAGGATCCGATGTCCTCTTCTGGCATGCATGTGTACATGCAGATAGAGCACTCATAAAACAAATGGTTTTTTTTTTTTAAAAAAAACTAAAAAGAAAAATAAAAAAATATTTATATAGAGGTGTGATTCATGACTACAGCACTTGCCTAGCATGAAGAAGCCCTGGACTCCATCACAAGCATCACCATGGAAGAAGAGGAGGAGGAGGAAGAAGAAGAACAAGGAGGAGGAGAAGAGGAGGAACAAGAGGAAAATGGGGAGGAAGAAAAAAGAAAAAGAAGGAAATGTATATAATCGTGAGCTGCTGAGAACAATACAGGGTTTAACTTCACTGGTATGAACTTCTTTGCAAAGTGAACAAAACATTAAAATACAAAATCAAAGAAGATTAGAAAACTTCTAAATTATCTGTCCTACTTTGCTTGCTATTGTTGTGATAAAACATTGACCAAAACCAACTTGGGAAGGAAAGGGTTTATTTCGCCTTCTAGGTTGGAGTCCATCTAAGACAGGAGCTTGAAGCCATCACCTGGGGAAGTGCTGCTTGCAGGCTTGCTTGGCTACCTTTCTTCTATACCTCAGGCCCATCTATCTGGGCATGACACCCCCCCCCACACACACACACAACACAGCAAGTTGGGCTATCCTATATCAGCTACCAATGTAGAAAATGTCCCACAGATTGGCCTACAGGCCGATCTGATGAATGGAGTTCCTCAGCTGGGGTTTCATTTTCCCAGGTGTGTCAAACAACCAAGATTAACCATCACATTATCTTTCCTGGCCCAGGAATTCTCAATACTTGTCCATTAGACTCACTCAGGAAGCTTGTGAGAATATTTCCATAGGATTTCTTTATTTACATTTAACTGAGGCAGGGGTACCATATGCCATGCTGTGCATATGGAGCTCGGAAGACAACCTGTAGAAGTCAGTTATCTCTCTTCACTACATGGGGTCTGGAAATCAAACTCGTCAGTCTTGGTGACATAAGCTGAGACACATTGCTGCCCCTTTTGAGAAATTTAATGCCTAAATTTTCTCAGTGCAAAACCCATATGAAATATATATTTTTTTCTTTTTTTAGAAATGTTATTCAACATTTTTGTTTGAGGCAGGGTCTTGCTATGTAGCTCAGATTTGCTTTGAAGTTGTGCTCTCTCTTAGCGCTGGGGTCACAGATGTATAGTACGTGCGGCTATATCCAACCCCCTCCACGCTAAGCTATAGCCTCAGCCCCAGACTCAGTTTCTTTCCACTCTCGGGTTACTGTACAAATTTTTCATTGTGGAAAGTCCATTGTTTACTCAATTAGTATCTGTCATGGAGAGGAGCTCAGAGATGATTTTCCTGGCTCAGTAATCAGAGACAGTGGAGTGTAAAAATAATAAATATTTTATGAGAACAGAAAACAGCTTTTGAATTTTCTTTTAACAGTTATCCATAATCTCCAAAACAAAATAATATGCCCGTATGTATGTGCAAGCAATTATTACATTTAATTAGTGTGTGTGTGTGTGAGAGAGAGAGAGAGAGAGAGAGAGAGAGAGAGAGAGATGAGGCAGGTATACACCTACCCTGGTGCTTGTGTGACAATCAGAAGACAACTTATGGGAGTCAGTTTTCCTTACAGCATGTGAGTTCCAGGGACCGAATTCAGGTCATCAGAGTTGGCAGGAGACACCTTTGCACAAAGGAGCCACCCTCAACAGTCCTTTCTTTTCATCATTTTCTTTGTCAGCTCATACTAAGCATGTATTTGATGTTCTTTTGATTTGTGTTGGCTTTCACTTTGAGGGAGGGTGCCTGCTCCCACTTCAGCCAAAGCGCCATAAAACAAGTATTTCCAGTTAATCAAATGCTCATCCCTAATGACCTCCACACCTTTCAATCGCAGCTTATGATCATGATTTCAGCTTTGAGCAGGATGTTGAGCTTTAAACCAGTTTTTTTCTGTTTCATGAGAATGTCAGAAATTGTGGGGGTAAATTGTGCATCTTATTTCATCTTTCTTACCCATTGAGAGGTGTAGATGGGAGTAAAGTTTGTAATGAGCCAGGGGACTTTTGAGTTTGGAGCCTAGAAGGGGAAGTTGGGCAAAGGGAAAGAAACTGAGGACAAGGAATACCTTCTTGCCACTTTAGGTTCATGGCATGATACATAAGTCACCATGCTACTTAGCCTGTAAGTAGACTTTCAAAGACTACTACCAAGTAGAATGCAAGGTTCTCAAGAGTGGGTGATACTAAAGACAGAGGCCAAAAGAGGATTTGGATTAAGGGTTCCGAGAGGGGACAATAAAAGCACAAGGATAAGCAAGTAGCTGACTACTAAGAAAAAATTAGCAGGTGTTGAGGTCAGGTGCCTTATGAAGAGGAAGCCAGCCAAAATGAGTCTCAGCTTTCTAGCCCAGGGGACCAGGTGGCTGGTGGTGGCACTACTGAAAGTAGAGAACAGAGCAAAATGTTAGGAGGGCCATGAGAGAACACGTTAGCCAAATCAGGACTGCATCCTGGATCCTGACCCATGAAGGCTGAGATCCCCCAGCATCCTTGGCTTATTAGAAAGAGATTGATCTTAAAGGAAGATCTACCTGCATAGGTTAGTGCTTTAGAAATACCTGGAAAACAAAGTTTCCATTTTAAAAAGTTAGCTCACATGGACAGAACAAGCAAGGGAAAAGTAAATTAATCATTTGACCACTTTTAGTCTTAGGTCCGAGGTGGGGGCAAGGTTGGTAGGGAACACGCTGACGAGGTTCATTCATTAATTGTGAACAGCCCTTACTGGGCATCAGCCTCATCTCTAGAGATATAAATATGTTTGAGAAATCATGTAAGTGAGAGCTTGAGAGGGCTTAAGTAGCCTTTTGGGCAGGTCTCTGTGGAAAGCTTGGCTCCTGCTTCCTGCGTCTCTTCCTTTCTTGTTCTTTCTCCTTCTATTCATGAAACGTTTTGATGACTTTCCTCATTTTTTTTTAATACTACCAGATGGCAGATAGAGTTGACTGGTTACAAAGCCAAAATGGTGTATGCAAAGTTGATGTCTATTCACCTGGAGACAACCAACGCCCGGACTGGAAATTGGTAAGGTCTCCTCCTTCATCAGTACTAGTTAAGGACATTTGGACTGTCATCAAATTATGCTTTCCTTCATTTTGTAGGTGGCTAAAATGAGCTCCCGTAGAACAAAAATCTCCCAATTTACCATCAACAAATTAATTCTGTGGTTTATGATGTTTGATATTTTAGTTTTTAATTGTGTGTTCCTAGGGCATGGCTTATGCATATGAGTGCAGGTACCCGAGAGGCCAAAGGAGGATGTGTGATTCCCTGGAAACTGGAGCTCTAGGCAGTCGTGAGATACCGTGTGAGAGCTAGGAACCAAACTCTGGTCCTCTTGAAAGAGCAGTACGCACTTCTAACTGCCGAGCCCGAGTTTGTACTTAGTGGGAGAAATATGCTATGATTAATAAGAGATATGTATTACAATGACAAAATTTAAGTTTTAAACAACTGCAAATTAGAAGTATGTGTCTCTGGGCTGGTGAGATGGCTCAGTGGGTACAGCGCTTACCATCAAGCCTGATGATCTGATTCGATCCCTGAAACCCATGTGGTAGAAGGAGAGAACCAACTCGGAAAAATTGCCTCCTGACCTCCACACAAATGGTGTACAGTAAACCTGGCTCCCAATCGATCCGTGCAAAAAAAAAAAAAAAAAAAAAAAAATACAAATATCTCCAAGGTACATCAGAAATAATTCAGGATGGCTTAAAATTCTAAGAGGTCTGAGGGGTATCTGGGCTGTTTCCAGCTTCTGGCTATTACTAATAAGGCTGCTAGAAACATGGTTGAGCAAATGTCCTTTTTGTGTACTTGAGCCTCTTTTGGGTATATGCCTAGGAGTGGTATGGCTGGATCTTGAGGAAGCGCTATTCCTAGTTGTCTGAGAAAGCACCAGATTGATTTCCAGAGTGGTTGTACAAGTTTACATTCCCACCAGCAGTGGAGAAGGGTTCCCCTTTCTCCACAACCTCTCCAGCATGTGTTGTCACTTGAGTTTTTAATCTTGGCCATTCTGATGGGTGTAAGGTGAAATCTCAGGGTTGTTTTGATTTGCATTTCCCTAATGGCTAATGAGGTTGAGCATTTCTTTAAATGCTTCTCTGCCATTTGATATTCCTCTACAGAGAGTTCTCTGATCACCTCCCCCTGCGGGGGGAGCAGCCTTACCAGGCCACAGAAGATGACAATGCAGCCACTTCTGATGAGAACTGATAGACTAAGATCAGAAAGAAGGAGAGGAGGACCTCCCCTATCAGTGGACTTGGGGAGGAGCATGCATGCAGAAAGGGGAGGGAGGGTGGGATCAGGAGGGGAGGAGGGAGGAGCTTATGGGGGGGATACAAAACGAATAAAGTGTAATTAATAAAAGTTAAATACAAAATTTAAAAAAAGAGCTAGTGAAATCACTGGCCTTAAAATACCAGATTAAAAAAAAAAATTCTAAGAGGTCTAAACTCTCAGTAACGATGCCACTCCACCTTGAGCACCCAGTAAGCATTTATTAAACACTTACCGGGTGGGGGTTCTGTATCCATCAGGTTCCAAGAAGAAGATGGAAGCCACACCTGTGGTTTAACATTTTTAAATTGTTTCCTGGGGAAAGTTAGAAACACTTGAAAGATCCAAGGGAAATTTTTCAGGATTCCGGAAGTAAGCATAGAAAGTAGCTATTAAGCTGAAGCTCACAAGAGCCCTCAATCAAGGCTGTTTTGGACACAGATGGGCCATGACACAGCTCTTTCTTCCCTCTTGTAGCCATGCAGTGCCCTCAATTAATGAAGGCCACCACCCAAAGAGAGAAATGATGCTTAAAGGAGTCAGGCCCAGAATTACAAAGCAAGATGAGTTTGGAGTGAGTGGCCATAAACTGGCCTGCACAGACAGTAGGCTATAGCACCAGAAACATTCACACACATTGGATAGAATTCTCTCTTTTTGAAGCTCTGGAGGTCACAGGTGCTTGCCACCAAACCTGATGACTTGAATCCATGTCCCAGACCCACTTGCTGAAAAAATGAAAAAGATGAGAACTGACTCCAACAGGTTGTCCTCCTCCGTATGTGCACACAGGGGCACACTCACAACCACACATGTACACTGTAACACAAACCTCAAAATCACACAATCAAGTATATTAAATACTGTATCCTTACTCAGAATACTAACATGTAATGTTAAGTGACCCATCTTGTGGTTGTACCAAATCGATTTTCTCACCAATAGGAGCCATAGCCCTGAGAAATCTTTCCAAGACATACAGATACTCAACTCAAATTGCTGAAGTAAAGACCCTTAAGCTGCCTTCAGTGGGTATTTTATCCACCTCTACCCTCTCATGTAGAGAAACAAAATACAAATCCTATTTGGTTAAACCAACCAAACAAAACTCCACCACCTTTCACTAAGCAAGAAATATACCCTAGGAGATCCAGAAACAGCAATGGATTCTGCTGTGGTGAACCTTACCACCCACGATAAAACATAATTACAGTGTAAGCCTTAAATATAATGTAAGATGTAAGTTTAATTTGTTATCAGTCTGGCATCTGAAGTTGCGTAACTTAACATTGGACATTAATACAAAAGCAGTTCAGAATCATTTGCCAAGTGGATTTTCGGAACAACAGTAGATATATGTGTTTAAATAATGGGCCATTTCAAGCAGGGCATGTTGACATATCTCGTGACTCCAGCACTCAGGAGGTGGAGATGGAAAAAAATGGATTATGTATGTTTAATGAGCTGGATACGGAGAAGAAAAATAGGACTGGGAATTTCACAGTTACCTAAACTACGCTGCTAAAGCATGAGATCTCCGAGCAGAGAAAACTAAACGGGTTAATCTTCTGGTGCTCTCCTTCATGGGCATCAAACTGTTTTGGTTTTGAAAGGGGAAAGAGCAGTTTGGCGTACTCCTGTCACACAGCTCAGTACTATTGTGTAAGAAGAGGGGAGCAGCAGTCTCTGGCAGAAGAGTAATGGGAGTACTTAGTCCCTGAGACACTCGAAAATTGTTATGTGTTTCCATGTGTATAGCCTACAGAGTTGTGGAAGAGAATCCAAAAAATCAGAATCAGGTAACATGGAAGGCTATAGAGAATGTTTTGCATTTGGACATAGATTATAGATAATCTGTAGTTTTATAGTAAAGTACAAGAATGTTTTCTACAAGTCTATTCCATTCTGCTTAGATAAAATAATAATAATAATAATAATAATAATAATAATAATAATAATAATAACCTCAGTGTAAGAATTCTGCTAATTGTAGCATGAGACTGGTCACATCCATGGCAGCCTGACCGCCTCATTACATACTTTAGCTTGGCTGGGAGTTCTCATGAGGAAGCTTAGGTTGACCTTGAAAAGGCCTGTATCATTTGCCACCCTGAGATGAAGCAGTCAGGTCTGAGAAACTGTTTGCAACAGGCCTGAGCACAGATAGAGCTGACCCTGCTTCTGGCCTCTGTAGGCACCCATATGCACATGTACAAACACACACACACACACACACACACCACACACACACACACACACACAAAAAAATCTTTTTTAAATTATTGTTATGGAACCAATAGTAGCCAGTAACTTTTATGCATACGGGTGATTTTTCTGTGTGCCTAGCACATGCCTGATGCCTGCAGAGGCCAAAAGCAGATGTCTCCAGGAAAACAGCTACAGGCAGTTGTGACCATCATGAGTGCTGGGAATCAAACCCAGGTCCTCTGGAAGAGTAACAAGTCCTTTTCACAACTGAGTCATCCTTCCTGTCCAATAACTAGTAACTTTTACTTTCATAACAAGCTGGTAGTTTAAGGGCATATTAGTAATTTTATAATAAAAAACTATTCTTTGAAAAATGATTCATATTTGTAGTCATTCCTACATTGACAGAATTCTTTACATTTGATAGCAAAGAAAGCATATATATACATATATATGTACATGGTACTGTATTCAGGTTTAAAGTTTTTGCCACATAGAGATAACAGTACATAGGTGTGTGTGTGTGTGTGTGTGTGTGCTTATCACACCTCATGTCCATCAGAGACATCTTTAGCTGCAAAAAACTAAAAATCGCCCACAGTTATTAACCCTCAGTTATAAACCAATTCATTAATGTCGATTAGTCATGGGGATACAATTAGGTATGTCAAGATTTTGCTGTATTAAATGATTAGGTGCAATTTTCTAATTTTTTTTGAAACTGTGCTTATTATAACAAGAGACATAAATTTAAAAAAAGAAATATTATCTTGGGTGAGGTTAGCAATGCCTTTAACCCCAGCACTCAGGAGTCAGGAGGCAGAGACAAGCAGATCTCTGTGAGTCTGAGAACAGCCAGGACTACACAGAGAAACCCTGCCTTGAAAAAAAAAAGAAAGAAAAAGAAAAACAATAACCACCCACAAAAAAAAAAAAAGAAAGAAAAGAAAAGAAAAGAAAAAAGAAAGCCCAATAGACAGATCGCAGAAAGCAGTGATGAGCATCAGTACCAGCTCATTACAGAGACAAACTCTCCCCAGTGGTCATCAGGATGTTGCTGACAGAAGCAGTGGAAGCCACAAGACATAGAGTAGCTGAGAACTCAGTCTCCAGACTAGGTGGCCATTAATATCATTATTAATGTTGAAATTCCGGCTCCATCACTAATTAATGTATAATTTCAAATGACTAACTAACTTAATCTTTTAGTTTTTTGATTCTCTCCCTTGTAAAATGAAAAACACTCCCTTGTGAAACACTTAGGTTTGCTATGAAAATAATATAAACGGTGGACTTGGGGAAGGGCATGCATGCAGAGGGTGGAGGAAGGGAGGGATTGGGACGGGAGGAGGGAAGAAACCACAGGGGGGAATACAAAGTGAATAAAGTGCAATTAATAAAGAATTTAAAAAAAGAAAATAATATAAACGGGACGAGAGACTTAAAATCCTGTGCCTGGTATATAGTAAGTGCTCAATAAATGTGGACAGTTTGAGAAGCTGGCCTTTGTGGTTATCCTGAATTCCTGTATCTTTGCTGTGGTACAACTGGTTGAAACCATGTCTGCTTTTCAGGATGAATCAACAGATCCTGTCCGAGTGCTCAGCTGGCTCCGCAGAGACCTGGAGAAGAGTACAGCAGGGTTCCAGGACTCAAGGTTCAAGCCTGGAGAGTCATCATTTGGGGAGGAAATGGCTATCCCAGGAGACCCACGCAAAGCTTTCTGTGTCGACTATTACAATACCACCAACAAGGGCAGTCCAGGGAGATTGCATTTTGAGGTGACTCACAAGGAGAACCCTTGCCAGGGCCCTAACGCCCAAGTTGGTAATTCAAGTTCCATAGATGAAGTTTCCTTCTATGCCAACCGCCTCACAAACCTAGTGATAGCCATGGCCCGAAAGGAGATCAATGAGAAGATCCATGGCACCGAAAACAAATGTGTCCATCAGTCATTCTATATGGGGGATGAGCCCACACCCCACAAAACCTTGAGTTCAGTAGCCTCCGAGCTGGTGAATGAGACAGTCTCTGCATGTTCCAAGAACAGCACCGGTGACAAAGCTCCCGGCTCTGGAGACAGAGCCCTGGGGTCAGCACAGAACCTTGGCCTACGATACAAAAGCACTCTGAAGATCAAGGAGAGCACCAAGGATGTCAAGTCTCCAAATGACAAGCCTTGCTCTAAGAAGTCTTTCTTCTATAAGGAAGTGTTTGAATCTCGGAATGCAGGCGATGCCAAGGAGGGTGGAAGGTCCTTACCTGGAGACAGAAAGCTGTTCAAGAGCCCTCAGAACAGGCCTGATGACTTTACAAACTCTGTCAGTCAAGGGATCATGACCTATGCCAACAGTGTTGTGTCCGACATGATGGTCTCCATCATGAAGACCCTGAGGATCCAGGTGAAAGACACAACCATTGCCACCATTCTGCTAAAGAAGGTGTTGATCAAGCATGCTAAGGAGGTCGTCTCTGACCTCATCGACTCCTTCATGAAGAACCTCCACAATGTCACAGGGAGCCTCATGACTGACACAGACTTTGTCTCAGCCGTGAAACGAAGTCTTTTTTCTCATGGAAGCCAAAAAGCCACAGATATCATGGATGCCATGCTGGGCAAGCTATACAATGTGATGTTTGCCAAGAAATTCCCCGAGAACATCAGGAAGGCCAGGGACAAGTCTGAGACCTACTCCCTTGTCTCCATGAAATCACGGGCTGGCGACCCTAGGCACCCAAACATGAACTTTGCGATGAAATCGGAATCAAAAATGAGAGAAAATTTGTTTTCTACATGCAAGCCAGAGAAAGAGAAAACGTGTGCCGAGACGCTGGGTGAGCATATCATTAAGGAGGGACTGACCATGTGGCACAAGTCTCAGCATAAAGAGTGTAAATCTCCGAGCTTGGATCAAGCTTCAAAACAGGGGAGCACTCAGCAAGAGATTTCCTTTGAGTGTTCAGAGCGCTGTGAATCAAACCCTACTCCACAGCAGCCAGAGAGTTTTGAATACTTTATGTGTGAATCAGACTCCTGGGCCAAGGACCTGATTGTATCTGCCCTGCTTCTGATTCAGTACCACCTGGCCCAGGGTGGAAGAATGGATGCTCAGAGCTTCCTGGAAGCTGCTGCCAGCACCAACTTTCCCGCCGCCAAGCCTCCTGTAGTTCACGATGAGTCCAAGCTTAAAACTGCCCATAAGATATGCGACCAAGAACAGTCCGAAAAGAAGGACCTGATGAGTGTCATCTTCAACTTTATCCGGAACTTACTCAGTGAGACCATTTTCAAGGGTAGCCGTAACTGTGAGCCCAAGGGGCATGAGCAGAACACTAAGGAAGAAGAGACCAATCTGTGTGAAAGTCCTGTGTCCCCTCCTGTCCCAAAATGTTGTGAGGATGAGGAGACCACTTGTGATTCCTTATCTGGCATAACCAAGATGGTGGCCAACCAGCTAGATTGCAATGTAAATGGGCAGATGGTGGAGCACCTGATGGATTCCGTGATGAAGTTATGCCTCATTATTGCCAAGTCCTGTGACTCTCCCTTGTCAGAACTGGGAGATGAAAAGTGTGGGGATGCCTGCAGGCCCAATTCTGCCTTCCCAGATAACTTATATGAATGCTTACCAGTCAAGGGCACGGGGACAGCCGAAGCCCTCCTGCAGAATGCCTATCAAGCCATCCACAATGAGCTGAGAGGTTTGTCAGGACAGCCAGCTGAGGGGTGTGAAATCCCCAAGGTGATCGTCAGCAACCACAATCTGGCTGACACCGTTCAGAACAAACAGCTGCAAGCTGTTCTGCAGTGGGTGGCTGCCTCGGAGCTGAATGTCCCTATTTTGTACTTTGCTGGTGATGATGAAGGAATCCAGGAGAAGGTAAGAAAGACCAAGAAGCTTGTGGGTTAACTCAGGTTTTACAGTGTGTGTTTTTCTGAATGGGAACACAGCTATGGGAAGGGGAGAACAAGACAGAAATAATTTGAATAGTATGTTTCTCAGTAGAGTTAAGAATAAACTGAGATTAGATCGTGAACAATCAGAAACACATCAAGAGAGGCAAAAAGGAGAAATGGGGTTTTCTGTTTTCTGCAATTATTGGTGCCAGGAACACAAATGAAGATTCTCCAGGAGACTTGATATAGGAATCAGACAAAAGTCTGTACTTTAGGCTGACTTTTTGTTCTCTTTCATGTGGGGGGGGGGGACGGACGGCAGGGGTTGTAAGTACAGTTGCATGCGCCTGTGACAGATGTGGAGGAGAAAAGACAATTTGTGGGAGTCAACTATCCATTATGTATGTTCTGAGGATCAAACTCAGGTCATCAGGATTGGCAGCAAGCACACCTCTACCACTAAGCCATTCCACAAGCCTGACCTATGGGCTGCTGAACCTGTCTCTAGTCTCTCTCAGCTTGCTGTCTAGTGTTACTGGAGAGTTGGTGGATTCAACGAAAAGTACCATGGTGAGTGTGGATTTATTTCTGGAGGGCAACAGCTGGAAATTCCAGGTTCTTGCCCTTCTACAGTGAAACAGAGACCTGAATCGGATCAAGTAGAGATCACTTCTAGACCTTCAATTCTCTTCTGTCTGACCATACATTAGAGTCAAGGCTCTCTTGTTGTCCTCAGTAGCAACTTCAATAACCTCCCATGTTTTTTTGTGGCTTTGGATTGACTTCTAAATTTAAAACTCTTGAAACTGGGAATAAATCTCTTGGTGTACCCTACTCATTCCTGATCAGTCTAATGCTGGATCATCGGCATTCATGGCACTAAACTCAAAAATATTTGGGTAACCCTGGGGCCATTTCTCTACCATTTTTAAAAGGAGGGTGTAACAGAAAGGTCTGGAGAAAGTACTTCAATTTGGTAATATACCCAGAAGTTGAGAAATATGAAAAGATGCTTTATTAGGTCTGGGAAGGTGGATGCAACAGTATATCAACCTCAGCATCTTGGAGCAGGATAGAAATATTCTTGTTCCACATAAGGAGTGTTCAGTGCCCTGTAATCTTACAGCAGTCATTGATTCTTGGATCTAAATATATTTATAAGATGTAGATATGTGTTAACGTTTTAAGGTAAGACAGAGTGATCCTGTGTTTCCTGAGAGCCAACAGGAGAGCGATGGTTTCCAAGGAAATTATCCTCTGTGGATCCTGGAGGAGAGGAATTGCTTTTGTGGGGAGCTTGGCAGGCCAATGCTGGTAACAAGGCTAAGATTGACTTGCAGAAAATGGCATGGAAGCCTATTATATGGCTATATGGTAGCAAAAAGGCCTTTACGTTCACAGAGTAATGCAAAAGGCTTGTTCTCAGTACCTGTGGCTAATAAGGCAGATACAGAATGGTTACTATGATGATATATAGACACTTTTGCTCCAGGACACAGGAAAAGTTAGGTTATAGGATTTATAGATTGAGTCTTTATCACTTTCCAGTTCCCAGTGTATGTATGAATGTACACACACACACACACACACACACACACACACACACACACAGTGCAGCAAAGTTGTACAGGGAGGCATTTAAAGTTGAGAGCTTCTCATAGTCTGAGAATCTCTTGCTTAGGTATTATGGGTAAGAAATTGGATATAAGTAGTATATAAGATGACTGCATGGCCACATAGACCATGAAGACATTTTTCAAATCATAGATAGTAACTGTTTTCCTTTTTCTAAAATGAGTCCCCTTGTTGGGGCTATTAGTTTGGCCTTTGGGGCCAGGGTAGAAGGGAATAATGATGAAAGCTTGGTTACTGCTCTCTGGCCAAGTCTCCCACTCTCCACTTAGAACTTGGCCGTTCCCTTCAGCCTATCATACCTCCTTTGGATGATCCAGGTCTGGCCACTGGAGTCAGCCCAGCTGGGCAGGTGGAGAATACAGTCCCGGTATACATATGCCAGATCAGAAAAGGTTTCCACTGATGTGGAAGGAGTAACACATATCTTAACAGTTGCCTCTGGGCTCTCTGGGGGAGTATCTAGTGTTTCATTTGTCTACTTCCAGTTAACTATGCATTACCTTTAATTAGTATGTTCTTTACCTAATGGGGTTTAAGGACTTCTAATGGCTGCCCCTCAAACATCTTAGAGACTCCTGCACCAAAAGCACTGTAGCTGTCTCAGCTCCAAGACAGGAAGCACCCTGAAGCTTCATCTGATTGCTTTGAAATGCCATAGACCTCCCATGCTGTCCTTGCACTGAGTCAACTCTGGAACAGCAAAGCCTTGCCGTTTTACCATAGAACATAAGAAAAGCATTGAGGAACAGGGCATGTCCATTGCCAGGAGCTTCTGTGAGCGCCCGCTTTATCTGATTAAAGGATTGTGCCACTCGGCTGTCCCAGTTAAGGGACTCAGATTCTGGCCCCTTGATAGCTTTGTAAAAGGTTTTGTCATCAATCCAAATTTGGGTATACTGATTTGACAAAATGCAGCCATCCCCGAAAGCATTGTTTCTTAACCTTCCTAATACTGCGACCCTTTAATACAGTTCCTCATTCCTCATGTTATGGTGACCCCCACTCATCAAGTTATTTTGTTGCTACTTCATAACTGTAATTTTGCTGTTATGATTTGTAATATAAATATCTGACATACAGGATGTCTGGTGTTGCGACCCCTGTGAAAGGGTTTGAGGTCCAGCCTGCAGTTTCTGAAGCTTTCTACAAATCCCAGTAGCTGTCAGGCTAATAAAATGTTGACCAAAATGGTTTCTTTTAGGAGATGAGAGATTATATGATGGACTTCCTGAAAACTTCAGTTAGCCTATTGAGAAATAAGGCAGTATGTTCTTGGTTTATTTTGTGTGTGTGTGTGTGTGTGTGTGTGTGTGTGTGTGTGTGTGTGTGTG